AAAAACTATGAAATCCTTAAAAATTTATCGAAAATGAAAAATTGAATTCCCGCCCTTTTCTTTTCTTGTTTAGCGCGCTTTGCAATGAAATAAAAGGAGCCTAGAAAAAAGACAAAAAAAAATTCAAAAGAGGAGTGCCAGCAGAGTTTCTGTGCGAGTGCCCTCCCATTCTCTCCGAATTTCCGAGTCTCTCTCTCTCTACCATTACCACTACCGAGTTTGCGTGATCAGTGTATATCAGCCGGAAGTCCTTCCCACGCGAGTTCCGGCCTCACGCACTCAACGTTGTCGCACACGTACACAGACGCACTTTTGTCTCTCTTTTTTTATGAACTCAAATATATGTATACGTACGTCTGTGTGTACTCGTTTTTATATCTCTATATTTTTTTTCTCTCTCTCTCTCTTGGGTTTCCTTTCAACAACAACAAAGCTGACACGTCATCAAAAATCCGAGGAGAACCAGCGCAGCTAAAACGCTTTTTTCTCTCTCTCTTGCGTGCAATATACTATTTCATACTCGTGTGCATATGAAATTAGTAAGAGCTGAGGTAGCTGGTGTTGTATGTGCTTCCGGAGGTATGTTAAGCGATTAAGTACCAACATAAGGCAAGATAGAACCACAAAGCGTTCGGTTGTGTTGGAGTAGTTTTCGTTGAAATTTCGTCGGAGACTCCGCTGCACGAAACTTGACACAGACTGGAGAGAAAACTCGTTTGGAAAATCAAACATATGCCCTAGATTACAGTGAAAGATAAGCGATATTTTCAAAGCAATTTTACGTTCTTATTTATTTGAATAATTAAGTGTTAATAGAAAATGCTCTGAAAAATGTTTACTCCTCGAAGCTAATTTTCACATTAATGTTCGAAAGAGGGTAAGCAAAAAAGCATTAAAGTTTTCGTATAAATTAGGTTCAAGGAACGCTGGATAATTGCGTTCAAGCAGCGAGGAGAGGAAGATTCGGAGCATACGTAGCGTACGCGCACACGTGTGTAGTCTCAGATGATTACATAAAACGCGAACCCAAAGAGCCCCCGGGCTCCCGGGGATGCAGATGTTACTTGGGTACACATATAAATAGGTACGTGGTACGAGTTTCATGCGCATAAAAATACCGAGAAAGGCTGTTGTTCACGATGAAGTGCTTTCATTCTTTGGCTTCGAGGGAGATGATAGTTTTATTGAGTCGTCGAAGTGATGGTAAACTGATTTTTTAAAGGGGAGGGAGTTCTGCATTGTTTATGGTTGTTTTGTATGAAAATTTTAGTAGTTACTTGATATGCAAATCATACAGTTTTCAACACATCATTTTAAAAATGAGTTGCAATGTTTGGGCGGTGAAAACAAATTTTCAAAACAGTTTTCATCTGCCAGAATTATGGTGATCAAAAAATTTAATTAATTCATAGGTACGCAATACTCGTCATAAAAACATGAAAAAGTACAGTCTTGAGTCATCACGACGCCTACATAATTTACACTGCCTGTAGATCACCTAATTTAATTAAATTTTTTCTCGTATCATCCCGAAAGATTTTGACGGAGGTGATTTGGCCTCGATTGAGTAATTGTTCAACACCCAAAAAGGCTACAGTTACAGATTTTTTTTCATTTATCCCAAATTTATTTTGAAATAGATTGAAATAATTTTTAATTTGACTTTGATGCTAGGTGTTCTACTTGAATAAAAAAGTTTTTTACTTATTTTATCAAAAACTTCTCAATAACTGTGAAAGTTAAAAACGACAAATTTAACAAGACTTGGGAGTCGTGTTTAGTGTTGAAACAAATAAATGAGTGGACAGTCGTTATAATGTGAATTTCTCTTGTGTTTCAGATCGACTACCCGGAAGTGATCAGCGGTAGAATGCATCGACCTCCGCAGGCCCATCCCATCGGCGACCACCGCCAGGTCAATCTAGTGTTTGACGACGCGGTAAGCTTTCTATTTTCTCTTCACAGCTTTGATTTTCTTTTTCAGACTAAGCACTAGTGGTGTATACATTAGGACAGGTTTTTAAGTTTAAGAAACACGCCCTCGCTGACAAATTACGCGTAATGTAATACATTTGTTTTATTATTATTTTTTTTAAATTTAATTTAAAGAGAGCTCGATTTCGATCGTACATGTGAATCTCTATCTTTTCTTAAGAATCATGTTACAACTAACACCGTCCCTAACAAACAATTTTTTGATCATTTTNTAACTATTATTTGATATAAAATACATGGCTGTAATTAACTATCATTTACGTTCTTTTAATCTTGTTCACTATATTGTTGTATGTAACAAAATCCTCTAAATTTAACAGTTAAGGGTTAGTACTAAGTCATAGTGCTTATTGCAATTAATTCATTGTTCTATAAGTTATTGATGTCTTATTTTGTAAAATATGGTATTACATTATGTTATAATGTATTGTATAATATAATTTATTTTCCTTCTGTTGGTCTGATCATTATTTCAATGATTTTTTTTTAGTGTTACGTTGTTGTCACAATTGGCTGAGCTACAAGCCTATTGGGTGTTATGCTACATAATGTAATTTTTTGTTTGCTAATATAGTAACTTCATTATGGTAAGTAAACGTAATTTAGACTTATGTATACATTTATATTATACACATATAAGTATAAAAACTTTTTTTTTTTTTTTTTTAATTACTATTATCATTATTGATAAACCTGATTGCTTCTTTAAATTCTTCTCTTATGCGCAAGGACGTAGCATATTGTTAGCTGCCAATAATACGCCTCTGATTGCCACGTGCACTTGGTCTTGCGATGTAACTGGTCAACCTGGTCTTTGTAGCTTTGTAACATTATTGGTTGCACTGTCACTGCCCCACTGCTGCGTCTTCACTTCTGAAACTGTTTCTTCTACCTGTAAGCTTTCTGGCCAATTATAGTGTTAAGGGGCCCCCCATTTTCCAAAATCTGAACTACCCTGCAGTTGCTTCTAATAATATTTTCACTATCATCCATGCGTACTTCTTCCAGTCTGACAGCTTTCCTTTTATTTGCGCTATCTCGTATTAGTATGTAAGGTGATACGCACTACCGTGATCTTTTCTTATTTCGTACATTCTTCTCTATTCCAGTGGGTATATTATTCTTTTAAAATCTTTCAAGAATCACAGTAGAGAGAGTGAGGGGCCGTTGACCGTATGGCTATGCATCGTCCTCGTTAAAGTTTTATCTACGCTTCTTTTTTTTCTATATCTACGCTTATGCACATATATGTACCTAAGAGGTATTTTACTCACATATGATGAGATCCAATGCATTATACCATTCAAGAACCATGTGCTTATTTTCAGCTAAGAGTGTGGCATTCTCTTTACAGATGTCTATTTTTTATCTTATGTTACGGCATACGCTATGCAGTATAGATATATCTATTTTTCGCAATCTTACTACGGCTGCGCTTCCTTGTTGCCATATGCTTAATTGTTTTCTCACTTTGTCCTTATTATTTTTTTTAAATTTATTTTAAAGAGAGCTCGATTTCGATCGTACATGTGAATCTCTATCTTTTCTTAAGAATCATGTTACAACTAACACCGTCCCTAACAAACAATTTTTTGATCATTTTCACTGTACAGTAAAAGCAGTAGGTTTCTTTTTTTAACACACTGTTAGAAGAAATTATTAATTGGTACCTATAACGAGTTTAAAGAATTTCGTTTCAACAAGTGTTGAAATCTAATTTTTTTCGATTCTCTAGTTTCATTTTTTTATTTCCCTCTCGTTATTCTAACGCATTGTTTTCACTTTCTAATGCGTGCTTGGAATAATTAACAGCAAAATATTTATGCATTGTATGTATGTGTTTTATGAGTATTTTATAGATCTAGTCCAAAACTAAAGTGAAACAAACATAAACTCTCAATTCTTATAAAACGAGAGCTATCGAACAAATTTTTATGAGCATTCGCAAATTGGGACCTAAAAGTTAATCAGAGCACGAAATTGCTGGCGGCACAAACAACCCCGACTGATTCACTCCATTGACGGAAATTTCGAAGCACGCCACTGCGAAAAACAGCTCCTCTTTAGAGAGCACGAAACGGCTCTCCAATTTTTTTTGAGTCATTCACGTACTAAATCGTGAAAAAAATAAAGTTCATGCAATCCAAAATCTAATACGTGTGACCCATGGTCTAATTAAACCATGCCATCCTGGAAAATGTATGAAACTAATTTGTGAAAAAAAATCTACAAAATCAAATACTTCTTGATTCATCCAAATTCGTTACCGTTGCCAAGAAACCAAACCACAATCATCCTTTGACACTCAATCTACTTTGGGATAGCATAGAGATATAATCCACATTGTACAGAAAGCATGTTCAGTCAAGCGTCACCAGGTCACGTACACGCACATACTCCCACGACATAGAGGTAGTTAGTATATCGAGTATCGAGTGGTGCACGTATCGGAGTGAGAGTCCGTGAGTTGTTCGGATGTCAGAGCTGCTGTGCAGTAGCGCGGAAACAGGTAAAGTAGGTAGTTGGATACCTATAGGTATGTGTACATGCGCCTTTCTATCCGCGAGTTCCGGAAGTCACTATACGCGCAGGTGGTAGCGGACCTGTCGCTGTTGCTGCTGCACCTCCACGAAAATGTGCGTGCACTAAATATAAAACGCGTATTGGAAACAATACTGCTTTAGAATTAATTTTTCCATTATTTTCACAAGAGAACAAGGGGTGGGTGTTGTTTTCTTAGGAAACATGGGCATGGAAAATTTTGCTGTATTGTCTTTAAAAAGTTTTCAAATATCTTGACAGGGACTTAAGTCGATTTTAATTGAATTTAAAGATCAATTGGGTTTAATCCCCTTATCAGTATGTAAATATATTCCAATAATATTCTTCCATAGACTCTTATGCGCAACCCATTCAGAAAATTTGGTGTAAAACATGTAAATACATCCAAAATCCTCCACAATACTCAAATGCTCGAATCGGTTCTCTTAAGAAGGCTCATAATCTTTTTTGCAAAAATGACTTGGAGTGTTGTGGATTTTGTAAAAAAAAAGTTCTTATGTATTTATATATCCAATTTAATCATAGACTGCCGAGAAAAATTGTACTCTTATGCGGGGTTCTAGTGATGGGCCTCTTCCAGTTAGAGAGATTTTCCAGAAACATTAATAAAATGCCTCGCTTACAGGGGTCCTTCAGAGAACCAGTACTACTTGCACAATGAGACCCTCTCAGACTCACTTACTCGTCAAAATCTGTACCTTAGAAACAAAACACAGATATCGGGGGATGAAAACTCGTCACTGCGTTTACTCATGACATTATGGAGAATACATGTTTTTACAACCTTACACGCCAAGAGGATCCTTTTTAACGACTGTTTGGCGCGCGATTCGTCGGAAAAGTTCGACTATGTGGTTATCTTTTATGCCGGAGTTTAAATGACTGTCTATATCTATACTCGAGATGATACGGCCTGGATCAAAACACTCAATTTTTTTTCTCTTTCTCTCCTTGTATTTTTCTTCTCCAGTCACGTTTGTATATTTTTTTTTGTACGTCTGGCGCCCATTGCTTTTCTACGGACCTTTTTTCCGAATTTCTCATGAAATCTGACAGTTTGTGTTTTATGCCATCTTTTTTTTCTGTCGACATTTTCATGACATCTCAAAAGAAAATTCAAGCAATCCAGTTGTCATTACATTACGTAAATCACTGATTTGGCCATCGTGATTAACTTTTTATTTGATTTTTAGAGATGACCAAATTTTTTTTTTTCATGGCTAATAGTGTGAACTTAAATCTAATTTTCCTCTTTAGATGTTTTCCCTTCTGTACTGAATAAAAAAAAAAATCTATGAATAAAATATGGTAAGTAGAATCAAAGGCCCTTCTTTTACATGAATTATCGATGCAATATCTTACTTTTTTACAAAAATCCCTTTTTGCACGCAACACTGAAATAAATTCAAACCTCGTAGCAGCTCCTTAAGCTTTTCTCACTTTCCCCTGCGAAACAGTGCAAAAACAAATTTCCCTTGGCTACCCAAAATGGCACGTATTCGTTTTTCCTTTGTCTCTAGAGAGAACCCCCTTTTTTTTGCAATTTTTTTCTTACCTTCTTTCTTTCGTCACAAGAGACAGAATGGATCCCATTTTTTTGCATGAAAATGTGCGCACTTGTTCTCTCCAACGCTCGTCTTCTTATTCATCTAGAGGCTTGTGTATGCAAATGTCCTACACGTGTAGTTGAGCGTGTAATTATGCTTCATTCAAGCCTAAGGACGGTAAAGCGCTGCAGCTCATTACGCGATGTGTTTTGTTGATTCAAATTCAAATTGACTCTTCCGGTGCTTTTGTAACTTCTTTTTTTTTGTATAAGTTTTTACTTCTTGTTAAAAAGCACAAGATTATGCATTATGTATTCTTTCACAGTTTATTTCCTTTGCACTACAACCCCGTACACTTGCAACTAGCAATAGTGACTAAATAATAATTTCATTTAGTGATTACGTACTAAACATTTCATTGCTTCTTGTAATATGAATCATCATTATTATAAATTTGAACATCTCTTTATGATTATAATGTTTTTCGTACATAAAAAAACTGTTCAGAATTTTTAACCATGTTAAAATATCGCAACATCAGTATATGCATATCACACGATGTTTCAATCATAACGAGCGAATTAGCATTTAATCGAATCAAGCCAACCACAATATGGCCAATTACACCCAGTTGAGCGTTCAACATTGAGTCTCGTTGAAAAAGAATCTCTATAGTAGCGCCCTTGCTCACACTCACTCACGCATACCTACACACACACGATCGATTAAATTAATCCAAATCGCCTGTATAAGCCAACAACCGCATGAGCATTGTACGCTCTGCCTTCACGTACATCATACAGAATACAGTTCCCTCCTTTCTCAATTCCAATTG